TAAATGAGTGAACATAGCTGTATTCTAATAAACCTTTATTTATGTCCACTGAAATTTGAATTTCATACAATTAACATCAGAAATGTCAACTGTTTTATGAAATGTTATTCTCCTATTGATTTTTCCAACTATTTAAAAATGTAAAAAATATTCTTAGCTTGCTGGTAATATCAAAACAGGCAGCAGGCCAGATTTGACCCATGAACTATGGTTTGATGACTCCAGCTCTACATATTTATAGGGACAGGAAATCAAGGACCATCAGTTTGACTACAGAACAATGGAAGTTCCTTGGTTGAGCAAGTGACCTTGTTAGAAAGCAGGGGCCTTTACAGGCCAGCAGCTGGAATCAGCCTGTTCTACCGAGTTAACTCAGACCTTCTGGGCCAGCTTTCTGCTAAGTTACTGAAATGAGTTTCCAAAGCCATAGGATTTGCCTCCACACATACACACAGTTACACACTAATACACTCATAGCCTTCCACAACACGACACTTCCTTAATATAACTTTGGCCTCTCTGTTTCTAAAAACAGCCAAGTTCTTTCCTAACTCAGGTCTTTGCTCTTATTGTCCTTCATGTTCACTGTTTATGCCCATGCCCCACAGAGTCTAAGGAAGAGGGTAAAACAAAACAAAACAAAACAAAACCCATTGCCGTCAAGTCGACTCTGACTCATAGCGACACCATAGGACAGTGTAGAACTGCCCCATAGAGTTTCCAAGGAGTGCCTGCTGGATTTGAACTGCCAACCTTTTGGTTAGCAGCCATAGCTCTTAACCAGTACACCACCACGGTTTCCAAGGAAGAGAGGAGGTATTATGTAACTATTGGTTAAAGATGATTGTCTATACTATCACAAACAAAGAGAATATATATATATTCTCTCTCTCTACATATACATATCTATAAATAATATATACACATTATATACATACATATACACAACAGAAAAAGAGAGAGAGAGAGAAGGAGAGAAAGACAGAGGCATGGATGCATAGATATTTACCAATTACTTCATTTGAACTTTAAAAATCCTGTAAGATGAAATTTGAGGAACCGGCATATACAAGAAAGGTTCCTAGTGACTTGAAGCTACTAGAGAATTCACCCAGACTTCAGTGGGAATTCCATTTAAAGGAAGTAAAGGGAGATTAAATGTTCTGGGTGGTAGAACATGTTCCACCCTAGATGGCTTCCTTTCTGGCTACTAAAGCTAATCAGGACCCCAAGGTCCTGGATGTAGAAGTAGGACAGAGGGTGGGATGGAGGTTCTAGGTTTAGCATTGCAACAAAGTTGCTAAGTCACTCCAGTGGAATCTTTTAACCTTTACAAAGTATAAGAGAGTTAGATTATATGATTCTTAACCATTTTTCAAT